CCTTTTAAATCATAGAAACTGATAATTTATTAGGCAACCGTTATATCTTTTCAAATATATAATTATTGTCTACATGACAAACAAAACTAAGAGGAAAAAAACAACAGTATTATGGACAATATTTATAATATTTTGAGCAATTAACTTCTTTTGAATGGTGAGGTTTTTCTAACCCATTTTACATCTTTGACAATCTTTGAAGGAAAACAAGCGTATTATGGAAAAGTGAAGGCAATTGGCCGTGGTTGAACAGAAGTCCAGAGAGAGAGAGCAAAAGCTATTGATCGGAGCCATGTTCCTTTTGTTCGGGTTATAATAATGAAGATCACGTCTGTAAAACACGTGTTGCAAACAAACAAGATATGACACATTCAGCTAGAAAGAATTAAGCAGAGGAATATTGGTGAAAACAGAGAGGTCGATTTCATTGACTCGTGCAAAGAGAGTTACATGAGCATATGCATGAAGTGTGCCAGTGATAAATCCAGCCTCTGCCTTCTCAAAGTTATGGAATGACATATAGATCGAAGATGAAGAAGCTGTAAAGGTGTACGATGCTCTTTGCGAAGCCTTTGTGAAGCAATACAATAAATCAGAGAGATCGTTTCTTTGCTCTGTTTGGAAACTAGTTGATGGAGACCAAGGTTGAAGGTTAGAGTCACAGTGGTTATAATTTATTTTGTAATGCAAGAGATATAAAGAACGTATGAAAAAAATAAAAAAATAAAAAAAAAAGGGAAGAAGAAGAAGATCATTAGAGATACTCTGTATGTGTTTAGTATTTTGTAATTTGACCTTTGCCATAGCTGGTGAGCTTGCATGGCGGGTCATACTCAGAGAGAGATTGATGTCCCGGGTTCTCTCGTACGATGTGGTGTGTGTGTGAGCGTGCATGTGTTTTGCTTTAATTCTCTCGTAACACTTCCACTTCCAATTTCTGACATTGCAATGTTGCAAACAAATCAGGTACTGACAATTGTATCCGGATAGAATATTCAAAGTGAGGTATAATGTATTATTTTGTGAGAGAAAGAAAAAAAAAAAAAATTGAGATTGATAAGAAAGAAGTGGTGGGGTGAAAAAATAATAATAATAAAAAAAATTAGAGAGGAAAAATATGAATAAAAAAAAAAAAAAAAGAGGAAAAAAGAAAGAAATACCCAAGAGTTGAGTTGTGAAGAAGAGAAAAATATATAAAAAAGACCAAGAGTCTTCGGACATAGTCCTATATATGTCGAGGGGGATGGGCCTAAGCCCCAAGGGAGTCACCTACGGAAATAACCCAACCTTCTGATTGACGATTTAATCACATGACGAAAGGTTCAATGGATAAAAATAATTTGCACCGCGTGACTCATTGACAACACTTTTTTTAGGAGGTTTCTCGAGGAGATTCTTTCATGCACATCCCTATAGCATCAGTGTTGTGATGTGACATTAAGGAAGGGTTTTGCCCTGAATGAATTCAAGGCGAACGTACTATCGCAGTGTATAGGTCACATATACCCTTGGAGAATTCACCTAAATGAAAGTCGTAATGAGGCCGCGACTGTGGGAGTTGGGCTGTTCCCTAGAGCTTTCATGAGAAGCAAGATACCAATACATGGCCATTAATTGCACTAACTCGCCAAACCAAGTCTATTGTCGATATTATGTGTGTGGTAAGTTGAAGTTTGGCTAAAAGAACCGAATTCAAGACTTAGTTCATTCAGGTTCCTCAAATGGAGACTATCACACTAAGTGTAGGTTCAACCCCAAAAAGCACCCCAAAAAGCACCTGTACCGATTGCATAGTAGAAAGTTGTTCAATTATTTCTTTTATTAAAATAGGTGGGGACTGTTATAGATATTTTAATAAAAATAAAAATAATATTTAATATATATATTATTATATGAGTTAAATAATATTTATGGGTATATTATTTCAATCATCACTGCCTCCAGTGAGGTTCAAACCCTTGACATTCTTTTAGAAAGTAGGAGTCTTATACCGCTAGGCCACATGCCTGTTGGTAATAGCAGAGGTATAGGCTATAGAGTGATATATGGCAGAGACATTGATCTAAAATATTGAGAGATATATACTCCAATCATATTCTTTATATCTTTCTAATATTTGTATAGATGAGAATATATGAGTGATAATATATGAATGAGTCAGACTCATATAGAAGTATTCTATATTCTATTATATACTATTTTATACATTGAGTTTATGGGCAGCAAGACACGTATAGACTTGGACCTAGTCTTCATGTGGTGGTGCACATGGAGGAGACACCGCTGTGAGCTGATTGAGTTGTATCTTGGAGTTGACTAGTTTTACAAATATCCGAAGGGGAGGACTATCAAATTTAGGTCAACGTGTTAAATCACGTGCCTCTCTGGGCAGCACTTTCTTATCTATTTTATTATTATTGTTTTATTTCTTAATTTATATTATTCAGTTAATATTAATATTATATTGATGTATTATTTATCTTGTTAAATTAATGTTCATTGTTGTATCCATATTGTTTATCTTGTTCAAGTGATGTATTATACAGTTTAATTTAAAATAGTGTGGTTTATATTTTCTATAATTATGTGAAATTTTCACAACAGGGAGCGTGATTTTCAGAAGAACGGCGTAGCCACATTTTCGACAGAGTTTCGATTTTGTTTGTCTTTCTCAAAATGTCGAATGAGCTTGTATTTATAGGCCAAATGATGAGGTGTTTGATTTGAAAACTTCCCATGGTCGTGTTAAATTCCCCAAAATAGGAGATATGTATCTTTCTTGTTTGGAAACAATTTAAAATTTAAATTTGAATTGTCGCACCTTCCTTAAAGGTCCAGACGTTCAGGGTTTTGCCACGTGTCCTAGTGGACCCGTATTTGTAGTTTTAATTTGATGAAGAGATCTTGAATATTTGACCAGTGGATGGTGACGAAGCCATTCCAAATTTTGAATGTCTAGACTATTATTAAAAAGTACAAGTATTAGGTTTGTTAGATTATTGATTTATAAATAAACTATTTATATTATTATTAAAAGTACAAATTAAAAAAATAAAATAATAAAACAATTATCAACTAAAATAATAATCATATTTTATTAAATATTTTATTGAAATTGTAAATTTTCTTAGTTATATTACTCCTTTATTAATTTAGGGTTAAATGCAAAAATCACCCTCCTTATATACAAAAAGTGGAAAAGAACTCCCTACTAATTTTTTTGTTGCAAAAAAATCCTGAATTTTTTTAGTGCAGATTACTCATTTTGACCAAATTATTTTTTATAAAAAACCCAAAATGCCCTCCCTGTTGATGTAAGCGATTAATTTTATTCTATTTTTCGTCTTTTATCCCCTTCTCTCTCTTCGAATGCCCATCTCATGCACTTCACTTTCCTTTCTTGAACTGTTAGAAGCCAATTGAGGAATTTATTTCAAGCAAGCTTCCATGGATTGCCGACGCAATCAATCTAAACTCAATCTTTCGACCTCGCCGACACAAATTGCCGACGCAATCAATCCGTCCCTCTATAGTTGCCGGAATCCATGGATCCCCATAGTCGCCAATGAGGTATGTGCGACGGGCAGCGATGAATAAGTGAGGTTTTGTTTTTGATTTTATTGTGGGTTCAACTGTGGTGGTGGTTGTGGTGGGAGTGGGGGGAATGGCGATGGTGATGGTGGCTATGGCAGTGGCGGTGGCGGGGAAGATGGGGCTGAGTTTTGGCAGTGGTGGTGGCTATGGCTGTCGTGACGGCGGTGGGGTTGGTGGGCGTGATGTGGCGGTGGTGGAGATGTGGGTTTTGCAGAGATGATTCAAAGAGAGAGGGGACAAGACCAGTACTGCTTGGGGTCCTTGATCCACCACTGAGACTGTCTCTCTTATCTCCTCTCTCTCTTTGCAAACAAAAGTCTACAATCCTCTAGTAGCCTTCGAAACTTAGGGCTTTGATTTGATATATATATATATATGTGCATGCGCTTATGTATGTTATATATAAAATTAATAAACAGACATTCATGTAAAGAATAAATCAGACAATCACTCAACACTGTATGTGGGTTTGAATATCAAATTTTGTTATTCTTTTTAGTCTTTTCATTTACAAGCAAGCCACATAATAAAAGATGAGGCATTTGGCGGAACTGTGGGGATGGGGGCTGTGATGCGGCGGTAGTGAATATGTGTTTGCAGAGAGGATTCGAAGAAAGAGAGAGAGGCGACAAAGCTGAAAAATAAAATAAATTTTTGCTTATATCAGCGGAGGGTATTTTGGGTTTTTTATAAAAAATAATTTGAACAAAATGACTCATTAGAGGGGGCAATTTGCACCCAAAAAAAAAATCAGCAGCTGTTTAGGTTTTTTTTTTTTGGCAGCGTTTGTATCTATGAAGGGCGTTTCTCGCACTTAACCCTAAAATTTATAACCACTGCGAACACGAGAGGGAGAGGGAGAGGGAGAGGGAGCAGGGGCAAAGCAATTAAAATATTAATTATATTCTAGTCAAAATTCCTTTTACTGATCTATAAATAGAATAATAAAATAAGTTACGAATGTATATGCATATCTATATCTATATATATTTATACTATTATTAAAAGTAGTGTTTGTATTTCAAATCATTGTTTTATAAATAAAATATTTATATTATTATTATTATTAAAAGTATAAGTTGAAATTATTAATTTATAAATAAAATAATAAAATAAGTTATAAATTAAAATAATAATCCTAAGGATTCCCATCATTGATTTATATACTATTAGTACAAGGAGGTGTTAAGGTATTTTAAATAATTAATTTATAAATAAAATATTTAAATAATACAAGTTAAAATAATAAAATAAATTATAAATTAAAATAATAAAATAAATTATAAATTAAAATAATAATCCTATTCCATTCAGGATTCCATCATTTGAATGATAAAGAAAATAAGTTATCAATTAAAATAATAATCCTATTCTATTATGTACATATTGAAATTGTAAATTTTCTTAGTTTATATTACTCCTTTATGGTTTTGTAACCACTGCGAACAAGAGGGGGAGAGGGACGGAGCAAGGGCAAAGCAATAATGATCGAGAAGGCAAAGAAAAGAAATCGATCATGCATAAAGACCACGGCGGACGTGATTGTATCCACTGCGAAGAGGAGAAAAGCCTTGCAAATTAGAAGAAGAGGCAGAGGAGGGGCCAGAGCAACAGCGACGAAGGCGGAGAAAAGGAATCAGTCATGCCTCATAAATCGTCTTCCTCGAGATGCTCTCATGGCCATACTTTCTACTCTGCGAGTCAAATCTCTCTTGCAATTGAGGTGCGTATGCAAGTCCTGGTACACTTTAATCTCCAACATCCACTTCGTTAAAACGCATCTCAATCGATCCATCACAAGTTCCAATATCCTAAGACAAAGACAACACATTTTGATTAGTAATAACCTAATCCCCGATTGTCCCTACGCCTTCAGCCTCGAATCAGCCGCTGATAACGACGAGGGCGACATTGAGGCTTATGTTGTAGAGATCGATTATATCGTTGAGAAAGAGCACAGTCCCTGCAGTATAATTGGTTCTTGCCATGGGTTGTTGTGCCTGAAGTTCGGGGCAAGTGATTTTTATGTGTGTAATCTCTCAACCAGAGAGTCCAAGCGAATACCTGACTTCAAATTCTCTTATTGGAAAAATTTTTATATATTGGGATTTGGCTATGATCACTCCGTCGATGATTACAAACTGGTGAAAGGAGACAAAAATAGCTTCCATGTATATTCACTAAGAACTGATTCGTGGAAAAAAGTTCAAGGCTTTCCTTCCAATCACTGCCCTATCACTCATGGGATACTGCTGAATGGAGCCATCCACTGGCTCTATGTTGATAAAGATTCACTTCTGCCAACAAAGATTGTTGCTTTCTGTTTGGCGGACGAGAAATTCTTGGAGTTTCCCGTGCCTACTCTCGCTGTTGGTATCGTATTCAACTTTGGGTTGCTTGGGGGATGTCTTTGTATACTACCATTTTGTGGTAATGAATTTTGGCTTATGAAGGAATACGGAGTGACACAGTCCTGGACCAAAGTTGTGATTGAAATCCCATCTGTCAGAATCCATACATTAGCTTTGTTGAAGAATCATGAAGCCATATTAAAGATAGACTCCAAGAAGTTAGTTCTATACAACACAAGAGAGAGAACATACAGGGATCTGGTACTTCGGGATTTCCCAGATGTGAATAAGATCCTCAATGCGGAAGCTTATGTGGAGAGCCTTGTATCACCCTGTCAATAAATTAATTCCAGGATGGAGGATGACTGGATAGGTATGCCAAATAGCTAAATTATGTATTTTTCACTGTATGTTTGAATTCAATGAACCAAGAATCGTTCCCTCTGTGCTTGCATTAATGTACTTGAGGTTTTCAACATGTTAGGAGGGTTTTGGTGTTTGATTGTTTTGTTTATATTTCTATATATAAATATAATATTTGTTAATGAAACCTTAGTGACTTGTTTATCTACCTGTTGAATATTTGAGTTTTAATTGAGTATATAGAAATTTGCCATCATTCTTCAATTGCATTTGGAGAAGTAACCTCAACAAAAAAGTATTGAATGATGCGAATGTTGTGCAAGCTTTTGGTTTTTGGAAAAGTTCTAAATTACTGAATGGTTCGATATTGTGGCCCAAATCAAAGCCAGATAATTTGCTAAAACTTCTCGAAACAGTTTTCCCATTGTCATCTTCTTCACAACTCACAATGAAAGTATAGGCTCAAAGTGGGGAGAAAGCAACATAGAGACATTTTGGTGAGATATATATATATATATATATATATTTCATAAATATTTTGGTAATATCAATTAAATATTGATTATTTATTTATATTATTATTATTTTATATGCCCTCCATATGCAAAAGAGAACCAAAAGAAAGGAAACCAGAATTCACAAAGAAACTTCACCAGGGAATCATATTCCATGCTCATTGTAAATCTTTGTTTTTAGTGGATACTTCCACTTCACGTGAATAAGATATCGTAAACTTGACATCCTCAGTTATACACTTGATGACTGTTGTTTCTTCCTTGTAACAGTTAGCCTTAACCCTTTTGTTTCTTTCCTCCAAGTGTGATAGACCATAGCAGCTAAGGCAACTTTGTGAATGGCAATAGCCCACCGTTTCCCTCCCAGGTTGGAACCACTCCACTCCAAATGTCAGACACAGAATCTTTAATGCTTTTCATATTCACAGAATCAACTCCTGACCAATCCCATTTCCCATTTCCCAATTTTCAGAATGTCAGCCACTTTTGCTTCTTTGTCCAAAGTTCCAAACCTGATTCATGTATAATTCTATACCCTTTAGCCAATGCAATAGGTCAACAAGGGCAGCCTGTAATCCAGCTAGATAGAGGTATCTCTCCCATTTCCAATCACATGCTTAAATATCACCCTTAAAGTGTCTCTCAGTAACAACAATTGTATCGAACACTAAGATGCTGTGGTAGGAACCTTAACCTGCCAGAAACTTTTGCCTTTTAAAAGGTTAGCTTTGATCCAATCTGTCCAAAGGTTCTTGGACTGATTAGGACTAAGGATGTGCCGTGCATGTTTAGAGAATTCAGCTCTGTTCCAAGTAACAATATCCTTAATGCCCAAACCTCCCTCGTTCTTTGGGACACAAATATCAGACCAAGGAACTTTGCTTCCTCCTTTAGTCAAGGACTGCCCTTTCCATAGAGATCTCTTCAAGGTTTGCTGGATGACATCAAGAACTTTTTTTTTTTTTGGGGCAAAATCAGAATGCTTGACCAATACACCTGAACAGAGAATATGACTGCCTTTATGAGCTATAATCTTCCTGCATAAGATATGAAGTTTGTGTTCCAACTCTGAACTTTTATCTGCTCAAAGGAGGTCTGTAGTCCCCTAAAGCTTTGTATTATGCTCAAATAGAATTGATAGCTTCCTTGTCTTGATCTGTAACTCTAGAGAAATAGCTCCTGCTCTTAGACATGTTGGATTTAGACCTGACAAGGAGGAAAATTTATAGAGGATCTCTTTGGTAGCTTTCATAGATTCTATGGAACCATAAAAAAATGTAAATAGATCATAGTGAAGCGTATATGTGTCAAATTAGTTTCAACACATTTCCAATGATATCTGAAGCTTCCATTCTCAATAACTTTCCTCATGAATTCCATTTCACACCTCATTGCCCAAACTAATATGTATAGGGATAGTGCATCCCCTTGTCTAATGCCTCATCCACTGTGAAAAAACCCACAAAGCTCACCACTAAAAGCTACTAAAAAGGTAAGGGATGGAATACACATTTGAACATAATCAACAAAAATGGAGGAATTTCGTAGCTGAAATGATAAAGCCCCAGTTAATGGTATCATAGACTTTCAAGCACCTTTAGCTGGTTTAAGAGCTTTATGATCTCTTAATAGTTCTTAGAACAACATGATGTTGTCTGTGATCCTTGTCCTTGATAAATATTGTTTTCAATCTTCTGAATGAGATCTTACTCATGCAATTAACATAGTATGAGAATGATAAATATGATCACTTATAGAGAAATAGATGATTCACTTAAAAATATGGGTGATAATAAAATGGTGGGACTTGGCAACATACGAATAGAAGCTAGGAGAACTCTCTGAAATGTAGAATGACTTACAAATTTATTCAATAAATTTCTAAAAAAGGAACGATGCCTAATGAATGGAGAAAAAGTGGAATTGTCGTTTACCAACAAAAAACGAAGCACAATTGTCCTTATATACAAAAATAAAGGTGATATTCAAAATTATGGTAATTATCAAGAAACTAAATTAATGAGTCTTAAAGGGAATTGTGGGAAAGAGTTATAGAACAAAGATTAAGGAATGTTACCTCAGTGTCCGAAAATCAATTTAGTTTTATGCCAGGTAGATCTACTGTGAAGGCCATTTATTTACTTAAATAATTGTAGGAGAATTTAGAAGTGATCAAACAAATCTAAGTGTGGTTTTTATAGACTTACAAAAGGCATATGATCGAGTTTAAAGGGATGTAATTTGGTGAACTATACATAGAAAACGAGTCCCTTTTCATCTTATTAATATTATAAAGATTATGTATATGGATAGCAAAACTAGGGTTTACGCTGCATGTGGAGAAACAAATGATTTCTCTATTGAAGTGGGACTACACCAAGGATCAGTACTTAGCCCATACCGTTTTATACTAGGCTTAGATGAAATAACGAAAGATATCAAAAAGATATCCCATGGTGTATGTTGTTTGCAGATGACACAGTGTTGTTGGATACTTTTGAGTGCTTGGGAACAAAATTAGAAACTTGGCGAAATGCATTAGAAGCAAAAGGTTTAAAAAATAGTAAGACTAAAACAGAATATATGGAACTCAAATTTAATAAAGACTTGGAAAGTATATAACAATAGCAAGTCCAAGACCACAAGTTTACTCAAAATCATTATTTTCAGTACTCGGATTAGAAATACAAAAAAGAGGTTTTGTTGGACAAATACGCTTGATGTTTCTCATGTAAAGATGGCTGCATATTTGTCTGATTAACCATAATATAGTCAATTTTTAATTGAGGGCTTGCTGCATTGTACCTAGAGTTTAAACTTCGCTTATCATATTTTTAGAGTTTCTGCTCCAGATTCACTATGTTCAAAATCAACACAACTCTGTGAAATTTACCATTGGGCATATTCTACATGATTTTTAAGAACTCCTTATTCTAGGTCCTGGCCAAAGCAAACATTTTTGCACCTCCTTAACATCCCCCCCCCCCCCCCCCCTCCCCTTCCCCAAAAAAATAATAATAATAATAATATAGGACAATTCATAGCTCCTTCAATCTCGTTAAACTTGGTTGTTCCTTTTGAAAATAAATGACTAAAGCAAGACAAGTTTGTTTTGCTGGAATCATATGTGTAATGGGATTTATGATGCATCTATGACCTCCTTAACATTATTTATTTTTATTATTTTTATTTTTATGGTTTCCTACCCGGTATACATGAGTTAGACACTTGGACCTCCTTAACTTTCTACTGTACTTGTCAAAATAAAAATCAGAGGACATTGATAAATTTTTTTGTTCCCCTTATCAACCTGAATTATTGGTAGCATTCTGTTTAATTGCTTCTTTTTTTCCCGGAAATTTAGATTTTATTAAAAGAAACAGGCTTAAAGCTACAAGGAGCATACCCTAGGAGAGAAGAAACAACTCAAAAAGGACAGCAACAAAAACAAAGGAATATAGCTGACAGCTAAAATAAAAATATACAAATCTAAGTACTTGCCTCAATTAGAGCACCATGAGCAAAGCTGAATTCTGTGGTTCATTGAGAAAGGGAGTTTTACATAAATGAGATATTCTAACAAGTATATTCTAATTTTTCCAGAATTCTTGCACAACTCTTTGCAAAATCTTTATTGCTCCTGAAATGTATCTCCAGCCCAACACACAGCTACCAATGCATTCCTCCATATACAGCTCCTCTATTACATCTTCAAATTAAGTAGAATTTTTTTTTTCCCTTATTAAGGGTTGATGGTGAGACAGACTTAGGGTATTCTATTTAAATCAAGAAACTCGGCCAGATTGTTTGTTCAGGTTTGAGTTGTAAGTTGGACTGCCATAACTGTCAGTCGCGTGCTCCATCGCCCATTTATATCGCTGATTGCAATTTACTTACTAGGGTTAAAGTTTTGAATTCATCATCTGACGAAACGGAAGCTATGAAAACGTTCATGACGGAACAAGCAACAACTTTGAATCCACAAATTTAAAGAAAAATTGCAAAGCAATCCGAAATATGATAAATCAAAGGGTTAAATTCTGCTCTTGCAGTGCATGCATATTTATAATAATAGAGAAAACCTAATGCTTTTAAGCAACCTAGCAGCAAAAGGTCACAAGGAAACCTCTAAAAAATAAGCCCAAAAGTTCTCTCTCAAAATTTTGAAAAAAATGTAATAAGAAACCTAATCACTAAAAACTATTGAATATAAAAATTCCGAACAATCCAACGTCATTTAGGGCACAAACAAAAATCCCGAAATAATCAACAAGCCTCCTATAAGACAGAAAAACGCGATTTCGGAGTCCAGGTTTTCAGCCAGAAAACAACATGACCCAGCTAGTGAGTTTTTCTCAATAGGTCGTTCCCACCCAAAAAACACTCCTTTGGGGTCGAAAATGGACTTATCGAACTGACAAAAACTCTGTCCTACATCATCATCGAACAATTGTTTTATTCACAGCCTTTAAATATTTAGGGAAAGGGTCATCTTGTAAAGCTCAACTTGGGGAGTATATATTAAGTTATATGTTATTGTGTAATTAGTTCTAATATACTGTAATCAATTTCAATAGGGCGTTACTGGATTCATTGGTTAAAGCTTGAAAGGTGAATTTTGAGAATATGGCATGTGTCCGAGAGCAGCCACTTTATGCAAAATAATACTAAGGTTACGCCTATATTTAGTCTGCTCTCATCACGCCGCTTAGGTGGGAGGAGCACTCAGGTGACAGCTTTTAGTTACAGCAAGTATATTATGTTATAATTAATCATCATTTGTTTAAGATTGGAATACCAGATGACATAGGAAAGGACCAACTGTGTGATTATGTAAAGCCACTTATACCATGCCGCATTTTAAAGTATATAGTGTACAATACTCCTGCTTTCTTTCAGATTCTAGTAACGACCGGAATACCAGATGACATAGGAAAGGACGTAGAATATGAAGCATAACTTGAAGGAGACTAATTTTTCGTATAAAATGTTGCAGCTTAATAGAAAGCAGTCACCTTGGGACTTGGGTACTCGGTGAACCAACATCTGAAAAATGTTTGATATTGATTTTGACATTGTACCCAATGAAAAATTAAATGATGCACATTCTCATGAGATACAACTAGACTTGTTTAACTCAAACATCCATCTAACTTAGGAAAGGTCTGATGGTCTCTCCATACGTAGCAAAATATGCTGACACAAGTTGAATCCATGTGTGCATTCTGGATTGTCACCCAAATTTAGTCTGAGGAGCTAACTGCATTTTTTCAATTGGAAGCTTTATTATATGTTATATATGGTGAGTTGTAAGTTGCTGGGAATTGTTAATTATAGTTTGTCTTTTCTTTCAGATCCTTCCGTTTTGAACTAGTGATTGAGTGCATTACAAGAAGTTGCTATTCAAGAAAAACAAAACAATGGAGATGTCTCATTTGGCCTGACAGGAGAGCAGGAGCTGAAGGAGTTGACTCCTGAAATTAATGTATTGGTTCTTTAGTTATTTATCATTGTTGTATTTGGGTATATTGCTTATGTTTTGTTTTAAGATTGTCATGGAAAATTACATATATGCATGTGCAGTGGTTAGATTATTATGTGGGGTACATTCATAACTGTACAAGCTTTGTAGTTTCTTCGTCACTGTTAGTGGGTGTCGCCTAAGATATAATTGAAAAACTTTTAGACCTTTTTTTGGAGAATTTTGATAAATAAGTTCATTATTAGTGATCTATTAAAGTTAATGCATCCTTCTCGATTGATCCATCCCAGTCAAGTCTTTAGTGATCCATGCTTTGGTACATTATCACTTGGCCTCTCTGTCTTCTTCTTTTGCATTATTCTCAATCCAGGCCATCAGCGCATACAGGTAGATTTATTTCTAAAATGTTTTATTAGCAATATCCTTATATTTCATCTTTTGGGCTGAAATGATATTTTCATATATGCGAGCATCAGGTTACAAAAGTTGCATTCATAGGAAGGTCAGAAATTTGGTTATATAGACCTTTTTGACTTTAGCTTCTTGCCATGGACACAGCTCTTTCTTGCGGTCAAATAATTCTAATGATTGAATACATGATACTCACTTCTGTTACTTTAACATAGTTCATGATATCCAATTTGTTCTTCAGCAATTTGCATGAAATATAATCTTTTGCTTTCAGATGACCACCTTCCATTACTTGTTCCCAACTGGTCTGAGTCGCTCTCTTCGGATGTGATGTGGAAATATGCTCTTTGTTTTGACTTGGTTATCCTTAAATTGGTGCTTCCTTCCTTTGAATCTCTGTTGATATTACCCACAACCCACAGAACTTATGTTGTTTTTATGATGAGGAGGGTTGGGTTTTTATGATGATTTGCTGCTAGACTAGAAGTAATAACAGCATATGATTGCCCCTATAGCCAATTCTAGAAACTTTTTTCTTTTTCTATTTTTTTTTTTTTTTTTTGGTGGGGATTCTTCTCTTCTACAAATAATCATGGTTGAAAGCTAGTACGCTTTGTATCTAGTTTTGATTCGTGGGTCTCTGTTGCACCTGAATCTGTACACTTCTTGTTCCTTGCATTCGAAGGCCTGGTTATGTACAGATATGTCGCCAGTTAGCCAAAACCAGTTTTTTCAGTTAAGGTTCCCAAAATCCACTTATGATTCGCTGATTGAACGTTTCGGTCCACAGTTACAAGTTCAGTTTTAAATTGTCCAATAGTGTTATTTTCGGAGTGAACTTATGATTGGATGATTGTACAGACTGTATATTATTTATTTTTATATATTTTATAAAATGGTTAATTTAGTCAATTTAGGGTTTAAAAATTTGTTATTTGCACCAGATTGAAACTTTAGGGTGTTTTTTTTACATAAGAGATACATTTTTCAATAATGTTATTTTTGGTTATTTTACAAATTTATTTATTTTTATATATTTTATAAAATGGTTCGACTTAAAGTTTAAATTTGTCAGAGGGATTTATTTGTAACAAATTGAAATTTTAGGAGTATTTTTTTGCACGAGAGGGACATTCTCCAATAATGTTATTTTCAGTCATTTTACAAAATTATTTATTTTTATATATTTTACAAAATGGTTTCGTAAGAGTAATTTAGTCAACTTAAGGTTTAAATCTGTCAAAGGAACCAATTTGTACCAAATTAAAATTTTAGGAATATTTTTTGCATGTGAAGATATTAGAAATTTGATGAATTTTTTTTTTTGGTAGTATAATATTAAAAAGCTTTAGATGTCCTTTTAGTGAATTACCTTGTAACATTTTAACAGAATCAATCCTATCACCGAGTCTTGCTAGTGTCAGAAGATGTTCTTTCGTTGCCAAGCTACATGCCTTGCCCTAATGTTGGGGGAAGAAGAAAGAAAGTTTTTCTAGAGCCAACAGGCAGCGGCCTAGCGGAGACGTGTGTTAGTGTGTGTGAATATCAATTAATATAAAATAAAAAAAAAGTTATCCTAAAAGTAAAAGCAATTATATACTATTTCAGACACCATATTTATCAAATAACACAAACATGAGCCTATAGTTAAAAAAAAAAAAAAAAAAAGTGAAAAAAAAAAAACCTATTAAATGATAGTATATAGATGGTTCAAATCAAGGGGCAAAGAGGAGAAAAAAAAAATCATTACAAAATAATATGATAATCAAACAGTAATACAAGAAAGATAAATAATTGAACAATATAAAACTTCAAATGTTGTTAAAAACTAGAGTCTAATTAAAGAAGAGAAATTTAACTATTTTTTTTAAATAAAGAAGAAATTAAAGGAATCTAAAAAGTAAAAGAGAAAATAAAAAATAAAAAATAAAAAAAAAGTTAACAGGGAGAATTTTAAAATTTTAAAAATTTAGGGGAGACATTATATAAAAGGGATAATTTCACTGACACCCCCAATAGTCTGGCCAAATATCAGTCTAAAACATTTTTCGAAAATAACTATCACTCACGTTACAAACGTTTGCTCCGTTTTTCATTCACACCCCAAAAGTTAGTTGACAGGTGTGTCGGACCACTTTTTACATGTAAAAAGACATTCTTACCCTTTGACTTTGGTTTGACTTACTAAATTATTTCTTTAATAATTAAAATTACATGTTTACCCTCATTTGACTTTAGTTTGACTATTCAAATGACATGTTTACCCTTCCTTTTCCATATACAAGAATAAATAAAATAGGTGATCAACGTCATACAGTGTATTGAGGGCTATTATATGCCACACAAGTGTCCGATTCTATATTTTTTTAAGGAAATTAATCAAATTTTAAGTAAGAAAATTTTATTTTATTTTATGGAAATTAATGAAATTTAAAAAGAGAAAGAGAAAAATAAGAAAAATTTTAAAAACTAAAATAGAATAATAAAATAAGAAAATTACCCATTCATATATTTTTTTAAGGAAATTAATGAAATTTTATTTTTTTAAGGAAGTTAATAAAATTTTAAAAGAGAAAGAGAAAAATAAGAAAAATTTTAAAAATTAAAATAGAAAAATAAAATAAGAAAAATCACCCATTCATATATATATTTTTATAATTTGAATTATATATGTTTATGAGAATTGCTTATTGCATGTTTATGTTTTTTCAGATTGGTGGATTTGTATGATTTAGGAATTAATTGGTTGACAAAAATTTCAAATTTATTACTCCATTTATTTTTAAATGAGTGCTAACTGCTAATTAATTAGTTGACTTAGGAATTAATTGGTTGAATTTATATGTTTATTCAAAATTCCAAATGGGTTGATTTAAGAATTAATTGGTTGAATTTATATGTTTATTTATTTTTGTTAATTTTTTTTTTTTTTTTTTTTTTTTTTTTTTTTTCTTTCTGTTTATGGGTCCCCTCCCTCTCCGCTCTCTTTCTCTCTCTTCTTTTTCTCTCTCTAATCTCTCAAGCCAGACAAGTCTCCGACGCCGACACCATCAACGAAGACACCAACTCTCATGCCGCCACCTTCTGCAACCCATCTGGTGCATTCAGTTACATCCGGTAAGCCCAACTAATGTCCAAAACTCTTAAATAAACAGGTGGAGAGAGACACAGAGATTGAGAAAGCGTAGGCATCGATGGTGGAAGTGAACCCATATTTGCAGACCCAAATTACAGAGGCACCGATGATGGTGCCAAAATAGTGGAAGAGAACCACTATTTGCAGACCTAAATTGCAGAGGCATCAACGATGAACCCATATTTGCAGATCCACTTGATCGGTGTACGCAGTTGGATGGAAGGTATATGGATTTGCTCAGTGATGTATGTAGATGGCTCTGGAACTTGGGCTTAATGGTACGAAATTTGAACTCTAGAAGGTTTTGTGTATCTGTAGAGAAGAGATCGAGGAGTAACTGGGTGGAGTTAGAAATTTGGGAGCAGAGAATTTGGATAGAGACGGTGGAGAGAGAAATAGTGTGTGTAGGGGTAAAGAAGTTATTTATATTATTTAATATTTTAGAATAAATGTGATTAAAAAATTCAGGACAAACATGTCTTTTCTCATGTTTCTAACATAAATGAATTTAAGTGATAATTATTTTTAAAAAATATTTTAAACTAATATTTAACCAAACTATTGTCAGTCAAATTATCCCTATATAAAATTATATATATATATATATATATATATATATATATAATTTAATATAAATACAAAAAAGATTAACTTATAGATGGCGGGCCAAGCCATGGGCACACTCAGGGCGTTAATGGGCTCCGCCCTAGCTCAAGGCAATATTAAATTGCAAAGGTCAAGACCACTGTAGAATTCTCGAACGGGTGATGGAGATGTACCCAAAACATTCTTACAGTTACAGGTGAAATATAATATAAATATATATTTTGTAATTGCTATATTTTAATTTGTTTTCCGAGAAGGATTTGGTTTGAAACAAAGCACCCGCCATGGAACTTAAGAGAGAGAAGAATGAGAGAGAGGGGGCAAAGCCAGGGTGAAGAAGGCCAAGAAAAGAAATCAATCATGCATGGCAGATATGATAGTATCCACTGCAAAGAGGAGAAATCAGAGGAGAAATCAGAGGAGGAGGAGTGGCCAAACCAACTACCACGAAGGCGGCGGAGAAACGAAATCAGTCATCATGCCTCATAGATCGTCTTCCTCGCGATGTACTTATGGGCATACTTTCTACACTGCGAGTCAAATCTCTCTTGCAATTGAGGTGCGTATGCAAGTCCTGGTACTCTTTAATCTCCGACTCCCAATTCGTTAAAACCTATCTCGATCGATTGATCGCATGTCCTGATCTCCTAAAACAAAGACAACACATTTTAATACTGACTCACCCAATCCTCTCCAAGCGTCCCTACGCCTTTACCCTCGAATCGGCTGTAGCTGATGACAATGTCGGTGACATTGTGCCTTCTGCAGTAAAGCTTGATTATATGGCTGAGATAAAAAATTATACTTTTTCTTCATACACTAAAGTAATTGGTTCTTGCGATGGGTTATTGTGTTTGAGGATCGGGTCAACAGCTTCTTATGTATTCAATCTCTCTACCAGAGAGTCCAAACGAATTCCTGAACCTGACTTCAAATTCTGTTATTGGAGTAGTTTTTATATATTGGGATTTGGCTATGATCAATCCGTCCATGATTACAAGCTGGTGGCAGGAGCTAAAAAAAGGTTCTATGTATATTCCCTAAGGACTGATTCGTGGAAAAAGGTTCAAGACCTTCCTTACAATCACTTGCCTAAACCTTTTTCTAGTGGGATACTGCTGAATGGAGCAATCCACTGGCTCTTCTCTTCGAAACGACGATCAAAGATTGTTGCTCTCTGTTTTGCGGATGAGAAATTCTGGGAGTTTCCGGTGCCCACTCTCTCATTCAACCTTGGCTTGCTTGGAGGATGTCTTTGTATACTCCGTGGTAATGAATTTTTGGTGATGAAGAATATGGCGTGGTACAGTCTTGGACCAAAGTTGTGATTGAAATCCCATCTATCACAATCAGAGCATTGACTTTGTTGGAGAATAATGAAGCCATATTAAAGATAGACTCCAAGAAGTTAGTTCTATACAACACAAGAGAGAGAACATACAGGGATCTGGTACTTCCGGATTTCCTAGATGTGGAAAAGATTGTAGCTTATGTGGAGAGCCTTGTATCACCCTGTCATGGAAATTTGAGTTAGAGGCAATATCAAGTTCAAATTAATTCAGGATGAAGGATGACTGCAAAGGTACACCAAATAACTAAACTATATCTTATTCACTCTTTTTTCCAACTCAAAAGACATTCCTTATACTTAAGGTTTTCAATATGTTAGGAGGATTTTGGAGCTTGATTGTATTTTATTTAATTTTTTTGTATTTTAATATATTATTTGTTAATGAAACCTTAGTAACTTGTTTAGCTACCTGTTGACTGTTTGAATTTTTATCGAGTATGTAGAAAATGCATCATTTTTCTTCAATTGCTTTTGGAAAAGTAACCTTGACAAAAAGTATTGGAAGTATTTGATCATGGGAATGCTGTTCAAGCTTTTGGTTTTTGGAAAAGCTTAAAATTACTGAATGCTTGGGTATTTTGATTTGTGGCCCAAATCAAAGCCAGATAATTTGCTAGAACTGCTCGAAACGGTTTCCCCATTGTCATCTCCTTCACAACTCACAATGAAAACATGCTTTACAATCATAAGCAAAAACAGTATACGCCAAGAGTGGGGAGAAGCAATAGCGAGACAATATGGTCATATCAATTAAGTATATATATTTTTTCGTGAATAATTAAGTATTTTATTTATTACTTATTTTTAATTTACTATTGATATATAAATATTTTTTTGGGAGATAAGCAACTTTTATAAAAAGAACTTTAAGACAAGTATAAGGGGGCATACCCCCTATGTACAAAAGAGAACCAAAAGAAAGGAAACCAGAATTCACAAAAAAACTTATCTAGGATATTCCATGCTCGTTGTAAATATTTTTTTTTAGTGGATCTCTCCACTCCATGTGAATAAGTATCTTAAAGTTGACATCCTCACTTATACACTTGATGGCTGTTGTTTCATACTTGTAACAGTTAGCCTTAATACTTTTGTTTCTTTCCTCCAAGCTTTATAGACCATTGCATCTAGGGCAATTTTGTGAATGACATTAGAGCACAATTTCCATCTCAGGTTAGAACCACTCCACTCCGAAATGTTTGATAGAGAACGAGAGGGATCCTTGACAGTTTACTCTTTTGTTTTGAATGATTTTCAGATGCATTTTCACGGTTTTCTTCAAAATGCCTCTACACGTTTGGGAGGAATCTAAATGTATCAGTGTCATAAAACCTCTTTCACCAGGCAATGTGGGATGTCACAATCACCCCCTCTTGAGACCTAGTGTAGAGCCAATCTCCAGCCCGAAATGGGAGGAGCGTGCACAGCCTTGAGACCTACTATCTTTGCTAGCGTGACCTTCATGAGGCTGTGCTTGCTCCCCCCAATTTCCGGCTGGAGATTGGCTCTGACACCATCTGTCACCTGCCCACACCGTGTAGATATTTTCCACTTTATACGCTCTCTCCTCTCGGTGTTCACGGTTTTTCTCAAAACGTGTCTACACAGTTTAGAGGTGTCTCCACATATAAGTGTCATCAAGCCTCTCCTGTAGGTGATGTGGGACATCACATGTAGTATTTTTGATGCTTTCCTTCATAGCACACATGATTCATTCTGGATGATCCCTTTCTCTTTAAGCAGAGAAAGTTTGCAATCTTCCACGAGCAGCCAGTCAAAAGTATAAAGGAATGTCTTGGCATATAACCTATCAACCAGCTGAGGCCTAATTACGTCTATCCTTTTGAATTTTGATTCTTGAATGAGTTCCAAGCATCCTTTTTCTGAAGAAAAGTTTTTGTCACTGTCAGCCGAAACAATTTTATCTGTCCCATCTCTGTCAGGGACTGAGACTTTGGAAGAAAAAAAATTTTATGCTTTTCATATTCACAGAATTAACTTCTGCCTCAGCCAATTTCCTAATTTTCAGAATGTTAGCCACTTTTACTTTTTTGTGCAAACCTGATTCATGTATAATTCTATGGCGTTTAGCCAATGCAATAGGTAAACAAGGCAGCCAGTATAATCCAGCCAGATAGAAGTATCTCTTCCATTTCAATAACATGCTTAAATTTCATCCTTAAAAGGTCTCTCTGTTACAACAATTGTCTCGAACACTATAAGATGCTGAGGTAGGATTGTTAACCTGCCAGAAAAATTTTCCCTTTTAAAGTTAGCTTTGATCCAATCTGCCCAAAGATACTCGGAGTGATTAGGACTCAGGATGTGCCATGCATGTTTAGAGAATGCAGATCTGTTCGATGTGGCAATGCCCTCAATGCCCAAACATCCCTCATTCTTTGGGACACAGACATCAGACCAAGTAACTTTGCCACCTTTAGTCAAGGATTCCCCTTATTAAAAATATTTTCTAGGTTTGCTGGATGACATGAAGAACCACCCCCCCACCCCACCTTCTCTTTTTTTATTATCAAAATGCTTGACCAATACACCTGAACAGAGAATATGAATGTGTTTATGGAATATAATCTTCCTGCATAAGACAGGAAGTCTGTGTTCCAACTCTGATCTTTGCTAGTTATCTGCACAATGAGAGGTCTGTAGTTCCCTACCTTGAGCTTTGTAGTATGTCCAAGTAGAACTGGTGGCTTCCTTGTCTTGATATGTGACTCTAGGGAAATAGGTCCTGCTCTTAGACATGTTAGGATTTAGTGTGATAAGGAGGAAAAATTAGAGAGGATCTCTTTTGTAACTTCCATAGAATCTATGGAACCATGGAAAACATATAAATAGATCATAGCAAAGTACATATGTTTCAAATTAGTTTCAACACATTTCCAATGGTATCTGAAGCTTTCATTTTCAATTTCATGATTCCATTTTGCACTTCCGTTCCCAAGAAAAATATGCTTAGTTTCATCCCCTTGTCTAATGCCACCATCTACTTCAGAGATCCTCCCTGAAACATTTTTCAAATACAAATGTTCAGTATCTACTATCTTCCCACGAATTATTAAATTAGACAAGATTCATTTGTACAGAATAACAAGTAGTGGGTCACTCTCCACTAAAAAAAACCACAAAGCTTACCACTAAAAGCTACTAAGAAGGTAATGGATGGAATACACATTTGAATCCAATCAATAAAAATGGAGAACTTCATAGACTTCATAACTGAAAAGATAAAGGCCCAATTAATGGAATCACAGACTTTCAAGCACATTTAGCAGCAGGGGCAGAGCCAGGATTTTGCATTTTTGGGTTGTGGGGTGGGGTTAATTCATAACAAATAGTATAATTATAACAATATATATATATATATATAGTTCTAATATATATATGTTGTAGGTTGCAAGAATTACAAAAATAATTATCACCTTTTTTACTAAATTTAAAATTTTAAAAGCAACACTAAAAATGTTCATTCATAATACCTTTAATAACCATAAATAGGTAACCACAAAAAAAATTATTTAAACAATTTGAGGGGGTCAACTCTAATTTTTCTATACAAAATCATCATTAATAGCCATAAACCAAAAAGTAGTATTATGAAGTGTTTCCACAAAAAATTAGGGAGCCAACTCTAGTTTTTCTAGACAAATCATCATTAGTAGCCATAAATAGGTAGTATTAAGAAAAGTTTCCACAAAAATGCCTGTTTATCAGGTTTAAGAGCTTTATGATCTCTTAATAGTTCTTGCCTTCTTGGAAGAACATGATATTGTTTGTGTCCTTCTCCCTGGATAAATGTTGTGTGATTAGGAGCAATGAGTTGGTTAAAAAGGGTTTTCAATCTTCTACCTAAGATCTTACACCTGCAATGAACACAATGTGAGAATGATATATATGATCAACAATAGAGAAACAGATGATGCACTTAAAAAGATGTGTGATAATATAGCAGCGGGATCTGACAAAATACTAATAGAAGCGTGGAGAACTTAAGGAAATGTACAAATTAAATGACTAGCAAATTTATTCAGTAAAATTCTGAAAGAAGGATGGATATTTAATGACTGGGGAAAAATTATTAATTGTCATTTATTGAAAAGAAGGTACAATTGTCCTATATACTAAAACAAAAGGGATATACAAAATTATTGTAATTTTCACAGAATTAAATTAATGAGTCATACAGTGAAATTGTGGGAAAGGGTTATAAAACAAAGATTAAGGAATGATTCGAATGAAACCACAGTGTCCGAAAATCAATTTGGTTTTTTGCTAGGGAGATCTACTATGAAGGCCATTTAATTACACAAGTAATTGATAGAATACTAATAGAAGCATGGAGAACTTTAGGAATGTACAAATTAAATGACTAACAAATTTATTCAGTAAAATTCTGAAAGAAGGATGGATACCTAATGACTGGGAAAAATTATTAATTGTCATTTATTGAAAAGAAAGTACAATTGTCCTATATGCTAAAACAAAAGGGATATACAAAATTATTGTAATTTTCACAGAACTAAATTAATGAGTCATTCAGTGAAATTGTGGGAAAGGGTTACAAAACAAAGATTAAGGAATGATTCGAATGAAACCAGTGTCCGAAAATCAATTTGATTTTATGCTAGGGAGATCTACTATGAATGCCATTTATTTATGCAAGTAATTGAAAAAAGACTGTAGAAGTAAAAAAAAAAATCAGATTTAAACATGGTTTTCATAGACTTACAGAAGGCATTTAAAAAGAGTTAAAAGAGATAATTTGGTGAATTTTACGTAGAAAATGAGTCCCTTTCAATATTATTTATATTCTAAAGGGTATGTAGAAGGACACCAAAACTTGGGTTCACAATGTATGTGGAGAAATTAACGATTTCTCTATAGAAGTGGGACTACACCACGGATCAGTACTTAGCCAATGCCATTTTACCATAGGGTTAGATTAAATAATGAAAGATATCAAAAATATATCTCATGGTGTATGTTGTATCTCATGTAAAGATGGCTGCTTATTTGTCCGATTAACCATATATAGTCAATTTTTTTTATTGAGGCCTTTCTGCATTGTACCCAGAGTTTGAAATTTGCTTTTCATTTTTTTGGAGTTCTGATTGCACCTCCTTAATTTTTTCTACTGTACTTGTCAAAATAAAAATCACAAGACAATTTATAGCTCTTTCGATCTCGGTAAACTTGGCAGTTCCTCTTTTCGACCCAAATACTACTAATTTTTTAAAATAGATGTCTAAATCAAGACAAGTTTGTTTGCTGGAATCATGTGTATATGTGATGTATGATGCATCTATGACCTTAACAAGTTATTTTTTACAATTCCTACACAGCATACACATGAGTTGGACCTCCTTAACTACCTACTGTACTTGTCAAAATAAAAATCATAGGACATTACATAGCTCTTTCAATCTTGGTAAAGTTTTTTGTTCCACTTATCAACCTGAATTATTGGTAGCATTCTGTTT